AAGAGAAAGAGAGAGAGAGAGAGAGAGAGAGAGAGAGAGAGGGGCTCTTAGGCAGGCTCCACCCTCAGCGTAGCGCCCAACACAAGCCTCGACCCCACAACCCTGGGATCATGACCTGAGCTGAAATCAAGAGTCAGATGCTCAACCGACGGGGCCACCCAGGCACCCCAAGTGTGGGCTACTTCTGTGCTAGACTTCCTGAGTTATCGAGATAACCTGTGTAAGCGGTTAAGCACCTGACTCTTGATTTAGGCTCAGGTCATGATCTCACGGGTTCCTGGGATCTAGCTCTGCACTGGCTCCGTGCAGACGGTGCGGAGCCTGCTTGGGATGGTCTCTCCTATTTCTCTGTTCCTCCCCTTACTTGTGTGTTCTCTCTCTCTCAAAATAAATACATAAATTAAAAAAAAAAATTTGCTTCTTCCCAGCTCAAGACCTACTGGTCAGCTCTCTCTGAATGTTCCACAGAAACCACACCCCCAAAACTGAACCCAAAACGTGCTCTTCCTCCTCCACCCAGTCACCCTAAGCAGAAATCTGGAATTAACGGGTCTCCTTCCCTGTCCCTCAAACCTCACGACCAGTCACCGAATCAAATCACTTGTACCCTCTCAATTCTCCAAGCTTGCCCCAGGTCCCAGAACGGACTCAGTCCAGGACTTAGTGCACGCTTACTCGGCTTTCTACAAATGCCTTCTAACTGGCCGCCCTACCTCACGGCTTCCTCTCTACTACGTTGTCCGCACACTGTGTCCTCCACACAAATGCCAGGGTGAGATCTGTAAAAACAAGAAGCCCCACCATGCGCTGCCACTGTTGATCACCGTGCACACCACGCACTGTGCAGTCCTAGCGAGGGCATTGTTCATGGTGCAGTAAATGTGAATGGAGCCCCTAAGGGTTGTGCAGTGCACAACCTGTACAACCATATGCAGCAACCTTGCTGTATTCCTCTCCATTGGCTCCCCCATTGCCCTACAAATGAAGTAAAGCCCTTTAGTATGCATTACAAGGCTCTGCCTGATCCAGTCCCGGCCTACCTCTCCAAATTTCTCTCTCCTGTACTTTCCACACTTTGCACTCCAATCGTTAAAAAACAAAACAATTCCCCAAACCTACTATGCTGACCCTTTTCTGCTTATTTTTGCAAATCTTAGTTCCTTTGCCTAGAATACCGTTCTCCCTACCTATCCCCACCACTCTATCCCCCGCCCCCAGTGCACTTGCAAACTGTCCACCCTGAAGACTCAAATAGAGGCAACCATTCCCTCTCTGGCTGGCCCCCAGCAGGTACTGCACAAGCACGTGTAATTTAGCTTATTACCCGGTACCATGCTCCTGGTAGTGAGCAGTTTATAAACGATCATTAGTGAAACCATCTTTCAGGAAGTTCTGCCCCACAATGAAAATCACCGTAAACACATTTTTTAAATACATTAGCATTCTTAAAATATATGAAATACACATGAAATCCTTTTTCACGCGTGAAATTCTGGTACCATGGCCTGTGTTCTAACAGCACGGGTACGCACCACTTCCAGGACACTTTGTTGATCCACAAGGTGAGAGGCATTCCTGCCAAAAATGCTGAAAGGCAGAAAACTACCGCAAGCCCCTGTAAAGACACAGCAACTGGTATTATTTAGGTGCCGTGCTCTGTCATGATGCCAAGGCCACAGGGACCTGCCCACGTGCAGGAGCCTTCCACAATACGGGAAGATGAAACTTCACAATATAGAAATAAGGGAAATCACCAGCGGTAGAAACGTCAGCTTGGATTTCACAGCAGCGCTAACTTAATATCTGCGTCCGTCACCACATTGCCCCCTAATGATTTATGACATATAGAAATCACTACTGACCGCCTCAAAACCCAAACGGACAAGACCAACAGGTTCTGTGTTCCGAAGGCGCACAGATGGCCGTCCCGACCTACTCTGGTCTAAGTAAAAGGGTTTGTGTGGCGGCCTCCTCTGGACTCGCGGATGACCCTGAATAAGGAGGAATCTTTGGAACGTGTGTTGTGACCCCCTGATGCGCAGAAAATTGCCAACTCTTTTTTTTTTTTTTCCGGATGCCCAAACTCCCACTGCAAGGCTGAGCACCTGCTGAACCAAAACCACAACCTGGGCGGACCGCGGTGCCTCGCAGATCTGTCCCGAAAGCCTCGGCTGAACTTAAGGTCCCAGAGTTGCACCCCGTCCCCGGGGTGTCCCCACGCCCCGGTCTGCACGGTCCCGCGGGGAACCCGGCACCTCCGTCTAGGTGAACGCGCCCGCGCCCCGCGGCTGGCAAGTGGCCAAGGCCACGTTACGCCGCTCACGCCCCTTTTCCAAAACGCGGCGGCTGCACCGAAAGTTGTGTGAGTCGGGGGGCGATTTTGTCTGTCCGTCGTGTCACACACCAAAACTTCTGCCATCGGAGTGAGGACCCCAGGAGGCAGGAGGCTCGCGGGCCGGCTGGGGACATGCACCGCTCCGGAGGGAGGGGGACGGAAGGGAAGCCCCGGCGGCGGCCGCACCGTCTCTCTACCCCTCCTCCAACTGCGGCTCGCGGATCCCAGCGCCTTTTTGGACTAGGTTTCCCCGGCACGTGTTACTCGCCACCCCCACCCCCACCCGACTTTCCCGGCATTCAGGGACCAGCAGAAGGGAAGCGCGGCCCGGCGGGGGGGGGGGGGGGGG